AACTGTTGAGCAGCACTGTATTCTCAAACCCCATAGCTACATTTATTTTATGGAGTAGACTAATAATATCATCTAAAATGGCACAAGAACAAGCATTTTGTTTTCTGGACATATTCAAGCATCATCCAAACGTAGTAGAGCCAAATGAACCAGTTATACCTGTACCACTCCAGTCCGTTCTCATAGTTGCGGTCGAAGAAGTGCGGCTCCGCTCCCACGGCTCTGATGTCGGGATGAACGCGGAGAAACTCCAGCAGAGCCCGGGTCCCTCCTTTCTTTACCCCGATGATGATTGCCTGCGGCAGCTTCTTGCTCCCGGAGCCGTTGGAGAAGCTGGACATGGCGCTTGGCTCCGGGGCTCTCTGCTGCTCGCCCCGCATCTCGTCCCAGTCGTCGCCTCTGTCCGTCTCCAGCTCGTTATTGAGCAGGTCTCTGGACGCGGCGGTCCTGATGGACGGCTCCTCGTAGTCGCTCTCTATATCCTCCCACGGCTGCGGTTTGGCCAGCAGTCTGGACACCAGGTCCGTCCTGCTGCTATCTGTCCTTCTGCCAACCGCCGAACTAGACTCCTTGCCCCGGTAACTGTCCACCACCAAACTTGGCATGGTGGAGCAGTAGCCCACGCAGGAGTACAGCATGTATACCCAGATTAAAAACATGATGCTGAGCAGTATTAGTTTCTTCTTCACGGGGCTAGACCAGAGGGCATACAGGCTGTGGCAAATCAGGCTATATTCCATAAGCCTTTCGGTTGAAAATCATATCCCAGCGGCGCATATTGCCCAACTCAGTCCCGGTGGCACCTCGGCAACCCTCGCAAAATTACGCACATGCTCACCTAAAACTAAAAATAGGCCTAAATAAAACTTACAAATTAAAACAAAAAAACTAATCTAAATATATTCGAAGAGGATGATATATCCAGGAATGAAAAGGCATTGAAGATTTTTTTTATCATAGTTGTGGTTATAATCTGGAGAATTGTAGCGCTGTGCAGCTCCAGGCTCATCTCAGGTTTGTTAAAACTGCTAGTGGAGCACGAGACCTTATAGAGACACATGCGGCAGAGTGACAGCAGCAGCAGCCAATAGCTGCACGGAACACAAATGTGGAGCAGTGTGTTGATAGAAGCTGACCAATCAAAGGGAGGCAAGGGCGGTCCCGGCCGTGGGATCCCCGGTATGGAGATGAAGCGTGTATGCGGGACGCTGCTGAGAGTTTGGAAAACTTTTCTTATTGGGCATAGAGTCCAATTAACTTTTGTTTCTCATGTCCCCGTACACACACATATTGTTCAAATGAGTTTAGACGACTTTAAATGTTTCCTGCAGGTTTATTCCAACATGGTTTACACATTGCAACCCTTTGGTGCCATATTCTTACTAGGCAATAAACAATAAAATACCCCTTCGAAACCAGTTTAATTAGGAGCTTTGAAAATTAAGAACATTTTTAGGGAAAATGTTATCTAAACGCCTAAAGAATTTTAGGCCAGACTAACGCAGACTTTGCCAAATGATATAGTCTGACTTTCCTTCTGACACTGAATGAGAAGTATCTTAATGAAGAGGTCACATATTGTTCACGATTTATATTTATTAAATTACACAGAGAAAAACAAACAAAAAAAATAAATTATAAATTGTTTTAATTATATAGGCTAATTAATTATATAATTACTCATAATTAATTTTGTGCGACTGGAAATTGTTAATCTGAAAAAATAAGCATAATAATAATTATCATGAGTATAATGATGAAACCTGTATAATTTAATAGCATTTATGGCAAAAGAACTATAAACAAGAATTGCTTCCTATGCACTTTATTTCCTTTTATATTTTCCCCCTTGTGACATGTGTCTTAATAAAATGTGTCTTTTATAGTAACTTTCTTTACTTCTCCAGCCTGTTTTTACAGAACGATTATTACGCTACATAGGCTACCTACAACACGTCAACACACGGCTAAAATAAAGGGGACTGTATTGTAAAGATGAACTTATTCAACAGTCAAAATATTTCAAAAGTTTCCATGCTCTTAAAAATCTCTATTGCTCTTCCATGGCTTTGTTGTTTTCTTATTGCCTTATTTGTGACATGAAGGTCTCCTTATACTTGAGAAGTCTCTTCGATGAGCAGCAAATTAGCAGAAAAGGAAAATTCATTAACAGCCTGTTTATTAACCATCAGTTTATTCTTCTCAAAAATAGCTTATTATAAGGATTTTCACTTCGAAAGATATGATATGATATGATATGGCTAGAGCGTCTGCATAATATTAAAAAACTCTACCCACATACCACCAGAATGAATCAAAATTTTAAAATGTAGCCTATAGGCTATTTTTTAAACATAATTATCCCCTACATGCAGGCTACACAAACATTTTGAAAGATCTGAGAGAAGTTGAAGAGCCCAACAAACCCTCTGTTTAAAAATCTCAACGTTGGAAATACACGCACTTAATTCCCAATTTTGAGAGAGAGAAGGAGAAGGACAAAAAAAAAAAGAAAGTTGCAGCGAATGTTTCATGAGACTGGAGATGAGTCAAAACAGACATGTAATTTAAACCCCGGGATCTTTGGCCGCGTATGAAAAAGACCTATGGACAGACAAATTTTATGCTTCAAAACGAACGAACAGATTAAATCTACTTAGATATGTTTTATTATTATTATTATTGTATGTGAACATGAAGGCATTTCTTTTCCAGTTTAGGCTGCAAGCAACGTGGTCAAAGTCATGCCGAAATAACTGACTGAGAAAACACTAAATGAACAGATCATCTGAACGAAACTTGTTGCTTGTGATTGTGTTAAATAATAGTTTATCGTTCTCTCCCCTGGATTCAAGATAATGTTTCAAAATTTTTACTCTAATATTTCTACAGGGACTTAAAGTAGATAGTTTTACAATGCTGGTTGTATAGTTTTAGTCGAAATGTTGCTTTAGGATCACTGCAGCTCTTTGGGTTCTATTTTGCAAAAACAGACCTTTGAAGAGAGGCCAGAGGTCATCCGTCATCCTGAGATTTCACTGCTTGGTTTGAAGAATCCTGGAATCCGAGCTGTTGTACAGTATTTCCCCCTCTCTGATGTGAGACTCAGTGTGGACATTAAAGCTGCAGCACCGGGGTTGACGGCATATTGCCGTTTGGGGAGCCTCTCCTGTTTACAGATGCATATTTTGCTCTTCAGTTTGTTGACTCTGGCATTAAAACTCAGACTCACACTGGATTACAAATAACATGTATGATTTAATGACTGCTTTCAGCAATGGGAAAGAGAGAAACCTCCATGTTCTTTATGCATCAAAAGAAGTGAAATAAGAGAGTATGAAATATCATTGGCTTATGAAATAATAATGGACTTTTTGAAGTTTTTCTACAATTTACACAAAAGTAAATGTGATAAATCTAAAATGTTTAAGGATTTAGTAGTCAACTGCTCTTTCATGTGAGGTGATGTATGGTACCCTGCAGGACCTTATGGTCTCCCTTCATGATTTACCAAGTTGCAAAGTCACTAAAATACTTAAAATGCCTCTAGGCTTCTTTTAAAAGATAAAAAATAGTTTGCTTTGAATAATAATTTGTCTGATATGTTTATCTCAGAAAAAAGTCTACTTACCTCAGTAAAAATTCTTAGTTACATCTACTCCTTCTCATTCCCTGACAAATCAATAATCTGAAAATGCAAAAAAATGAATTTCAGAAGTTTAATTTCACATAAGAAAATACCAGAGATGTCACCTTCTTCTTGTACTACTTCTATACTGGAGGTTTCCACTTTCCACATCCCAATTGTGTATGTTACATATCGGACAATGAACAGCTTCAATTACTTATGTCGTCACAAAATCATGATCGTACGTATGCATCAAAATGTCAGTTTTAAGGTGGGACTTTTCCTCCTTCAGCAGAGGAAATTAAAAACAGCGTAAAACTCATACATCATCCTGTACAAGGAAGCTCAAACATCCAAGTTATAAAAAAGGCAAAACATATTCTTTAATGGACAGGGGCTTTAAAATCCCCACAGAACATTTCTCTAACTGCATGTCTAAATCTGAGCATGAACTTGCCCAGGACTATTTTGAATGATAATTTCAAAGGATGGATTTACCTTTCATGAGAACAGCAGCTCAGAGACATCTCTCTTGTATAATCTGAGGAAGGGATCTGTGGGTTGAAAGCTCAGCCATAGGTCTAATGCTGAATACAAAATATGATTCATATGCTCAACCATTAAGAGGACAAGTAGAAGTAACACCAAATTCAAATAACTCCAGAATCGGAAAAAGGGAGCAGAGCTGTTCTCCTGGCTGACAGGACTAGACAGCACCAGGGCCACCACTCTACCTCTGTAGGAGCGGATGTTGTAAACCATGACAGGCCATCACACTGAGCCCTGGAGGTTCGATAGGACATTCAATCTCCACACAGGTTGGGTGTATGTGTGCGCGCTTTTCTCCCCACTTTTCTCCCAACTGTAACAGCTGGCCCCAATGCTCCCCTTTCAGCCTCTGATATGAAACTCTGTATCCGGTCAGACACTTTACGAGGATGTCGAGCCGTTTCAGGTCTCCCGGCCTTGGCTAAATCCCCCAGTACCCTTTTATGGAGGGAGGATGGCAGTGAGTGGAAGGGGACGCTTGTTTCTCGGAGTGCGGTGATGGAAATGTAACCGAATACAAAACTAGGGGAAAAAGAGGCGGAAGGGGAGCACATGTTGACTGACAGGTGCAGAGGTGGCCTGCTAAATGGAGCTTATTGGAGGGATGGCGATTGTGCTTAAAGCGAGCATATCCTCTAAGGCTATAATTGAAACTTAAATCCATACATTATGTGGATGTTGAGTCGGCACCACCACCTAACGAGGTGTGGTAGTGGTTTGTGTGTGATTGATCAGGTACACAACCATTCATCCACAACTTCCTTTTAAATTGAGTTTTAAATGGAAACAGTGAATGGGTAAATGATGACACAAAATACAGAGCTACAATCATGACATGTTTATTGTTAGAGAGCATTTGCCCTTGCATTTTGGTGCAGGCGAACCGTGTTGAATTAAAGCATTATGTAAATGAATGAAGACCCATCAGTGTGTTTGCTGAGTAGCAAAATGCAATGAGGCTTATTAACTGTCAAGTAACTGGGCTCAGGTGAAAGTCGAACAACAGTCAACAGACATCAAGTGCAGCATCCAAGTGGCTTCAGTTTACATATCTGTCCTATTTTCATACTCTGAAAAATCAACCGTAAATCTTTGATACCATGAAGAACACATACTTTTCTTCTATTTTGCAATTTGTACAATGCAATGACAAATCCGCAGACAGTGATGCCTGAGTGGATCCATAGGAGCAATTTACACAGTACACGAACATTTAACATCAGTCATGTACAACATGGAGAGGAACCGGTGGGCCCCTTCATAAATAAATACAGAGCATATACAGTACACACACATTGAAATGATTACAACCTGATGTAATAATTGAGTGTGTTTTCTGTAAATCAACTATTTTGATCCAAATTATTTCCAGCTCATTTCCTGATCTGTAGTGAGCACCACTGGCTCAAATTAAACACGCAGTTATAATAATATGTCTGTCATCCAGCCCTCTCCAAACACAACAAGTGGTTAAGGAGACACCGAGGGAACATCTCACTTAAAATAAGGGTCTCAGACGTCCTAATGGTGTTGGGGCACCTATGAAACTAGTTAGCTTTGCAGGGCGAGAGGTAAAGAAGCTGGAGGTATAGCTGGATCCTCCTGATCTCTGCGAGGCTTCTTGCAAGTCAGTGCCAGCAGCAGCAGCATGGGCAGGTGCCAGAGGCTGCAGAAGAACAGCTTGCGGGCACTGCTGCGGTCTCCCTTCTGGTAGAAGCGGAAGGCCAGGTAGCTGATGTACAGGTTGATGGGTAGGGAGATCACTGGGAAGGTCCAGGTGGTTACGTCCAGCACGGGCGCTAAGGTTGACAGGCCGATCAGGCCCACGCTGTGGCGCAGGGCCACCCGCTTGCACATGCCAGGGTGGGTGACGGACATCATGCGGTAGCCGCCACGGGAGTAGTCTTCCCTCAAATTCCAGCTGAGGGCGTTAAAGTGGGGAAACTGCCAGCTGTACAGGAAACCACCCAGTAACAAGGCACCTGGGGGTGAAACAGAGGGAGAGGAAGAGAGTAAGGAAGGAGGGGATTGATGATTCAGTCTGTTTGTTGTTTGATTCACTCTCAACATGCCAAATATTAGGCCAAGTGCTGAAATAAAAGTTTTATGTTATGACTTTTTAGTTAAAAGTACAGTTCTTTAATCTTAAAAGCCAATAGAAAGCAGTCAGTACTAACTTACTAATAAGTTACAGCAGTGTTCCAACTGTGCATGTTTTTCTGCCACGATACAAAGTTATGTCAGTTATTGTCTCAGCTCTAACTCGCACAAAATGTTGCTGATTATCTTTACTGGTTCCTTTTTAATGAGGGACGGCTGTTCTCAGAAACATTATACTATTGTTATATTTCCTAGTTTAAATGTGTCAAACCAGAAGGACAAGTGCACAGACTGACAGTGGCTTGTGTTTCACATTCTGTGGGAGGGCGACACACACACCTGTGGACTGTGGTCATGTTCGCTGCAAGTACTTATTAAATCGAGTCGGCAGAACAAGCAACAGAAAATTCCATAACAGAGAGCTGTAAACAGGTTTTCTTTTGCCTTGCTTTTAGTAAACATGTAAAATCTCGTATGAAAACTGGAAAGGGTTTGGTATAGTACTGTGTCTGTAAAATACTGTTCGCTGCTTTGAGGGAACATTTAGAGAACACTGGTTATATAGATGTTTTTTATTAGGCTTAATCATTTGACAATACAAAGTTCATTTAAAGGGAAAGTCCATCTCGGTGGCTGAACCGCAGTAAAGGCAAGACTGTTTTTAAAGCTTTCATGAATAGAATGAGTTGCCATGGAATCAGTAGCCCTCTCTTAAAATCAACAAGCATTTAATGGAATAGAGCTGCTCTCATTTTACAGATGAAAAGTCAACAAATTCATTAACATTATGTTGAAAGAGCAAACCAAATATTTGTAGCTTAAACATAAACCTTTATGTGCATGTCTCCGGGATACGGCAGCAACATGATCAAACACATTTCATACCGTTTCCATAGTACAACACACTTAATGTGTCCGCCAAACAAGCTGAAAAGCCCCTCAGTCTCTGTCGCTTCACTAACTTAACATTACATTCATCTGGCAGACACTTTTGTCCAAAATGACTTACAATAAGTGCATTGAAACTCCACAGGAACAATGAACAAGAGCACCAACAGCGCTGCAGGGATTCTGAGCCATATGTAAATAAAGCTTTACGTAGTGTGAGATCAGGCCTGGTCAGAGAGGTCCTGTTGAAGGCAGTGAAGAACAGCAGCCCAGCCCACTAACAAAAAAGTATTAATGAGGGACAGAGCACTGTGATTTAACTAGGGCTGCAACTAACAATTATTTAGGAGCAGCTTTTAACTTTTTATGCAGCTTTTTACTTTTAACTATTTGATTAGCTGCTGAAAGTGACTATTTATGAACATCTCCACCAAAAAACAAAACAAATATCACTGCGGTCTAGGGAGACAAATATGGCTATAATAACTATTAATCTATCTTGCAGCACCTCTTTGCCCTACACATTGCAGACTGGAAATACCTTTTGCTTTATCCAATCAACAGTCCAAAACCCCAAAGACATAACTTTTTTCTCAAGCAGAGGAAAACAGCAAATCTACCCATTTCAGGCTTAGGCATCTGTGCTTGATAAGTGATTTAAATGGAGTTGAAGATGCCTTTGAACTGAATACTTTTCTCTAAAACAATTTTAAACACTAGTATCTACATATGTACATACACATGAGTCCACTAATACCCCATATCTCAGCTGGTGAGTCATACCTAGATCCAGACAACCTGTGGCAGCCGTCCAGCCCATGACAGGAGGTATAGCACCCACCACTGCTCCCACCCAGGTGTTGGCGATGCTGAGCCTCTTGAGCGGTGTGTAGCAACAGGTGTAGAGAAAGATGTTGAGGGTCCCCAGGAAGCCCGTCAAGGGGTTTACCACCAGCGTGAGCAGAGCAATTCCAGGAACTCCACAGGCCAGAGCAAAGGACACTGCATGGAGGGGACTGATATAAAGAAGGGACAGAAAAAGGAAGTGAAACAGAGGGAGAGATTGTGAGACTCAGCTAAAACGGCAAGATAAAGAAAAAGTAAACAAGGGCAAGTTTAAAAGATGAGTTTCAGATGTGTTCTTTTGATAAAAGGCAAGTTACAATACACAGATTCAGAGTCAGACAAACACCCATTACCATGGGATGATAAAGTTTTGTGGGCTTGTGCAGACACCAGATAAGACAATGATACCTCCACATGTGCCACACACACACACGCAGACCCATGGGGGCCACACACTGACAGCCGCAGCCGTGTATGGCTGAGGCTCAGAACAGGAGGCTTGGAGGAAGCGCATCTGATAAGAGTTTGTCAGGAATAAAAGGAGCTCTGCAAGATGAAGGGTATGCGCACACGCCAGAGATCAAAACTAGCTGAAGGAAACCACTGCGGCTCGGGCTTTTAGCCGGATGAAGACTTCCTCCTCCTCCTCCTCCCCTCATCTTTTATTGAAAGCAGTGATGGCAAGGTCTGGTTCAAATTCACCAGTAAATGCTCCATAAATTAAAGAGAGAGTAGATTAAAATCTTGACCAAACGCAGGCCTTTTCTTCAAAAAGCAAACAGGGCTTTTATTTTGGTGGTGTGGCAGAGCAGGGAGATTGGTGCATTAATGTGATTAGTGGTGTTATGCCTGTTTTATGTGGGCTGAGGTGGGGCCGTGCAGGCTGGCTATGAGCTGTCGACAGTCTGGCTTGGCTGTGGGTTGGCTCTGCGGGGGTCAGGGGAGGGAGTGCGTCACATGGCCTGAGGCGGGTTTACTGTCCTCAGCTTACAATCTGACACAGCCGCAGTACTAACGTCAGGTGACTAATGTCAATGCAAAAAGCCCAAGATGTGGCCGTCCGATTGGACCACAATCAAAACCAGGGATCTAAATGTAAAACACAAGGGACTTACCCATTAGGTTAAAGAAACAGAATTATTCTACGTACACCTTAGTTACCTGTTAGATATTCAAGTGGTAAATGTATTATAATTTTTGGATGAAAAAAAGTATTAATAATCCTGATTCGTGATTTTGTCATAAAACTTAAACCTGATTAAAATAGTTGATCCTGAAATTTAATTCTTGATAAAAGCAAATTACACTGTCAGATGTTCAGGAAACAGCTAGTAAAAGATTTCTGTTAAATTATTTGAATAACCTTAATGAGAAAGACAAGCAGAGACTTTATTAGAAGGCAAATGATTAGAATCCTTCAATACCACATACTGTATGATTTTATCTCCCTCAAGACCAGCTGACTCAGACGATAACGGTCTGAGTCCAATTGGGTAAACAGTCGTGACGTCCAAACCGTACTTCTCCTCAATAACTGCAATGTGTGTCCCAAACTGTTCCATTGACCAAACTGAAAGCTATTCAGCATCCTCACATGTGGAAGCCTCAAACTCAAAAAAACCCACAACAAAGGACGGGGGGGGACTGTCATCCACATTTCACAGAACAACAATAAAAGGTGGGAAAGATGATACACTATTATAGTCCTGACATGAGATGACAAACTATTTCCGACGCTGACATCATGTTGGGCAGACAGACTCCTGCAGAAAGACAGATGTAGCGGAGGAGCGTCATTTGGCTTATACAAAGACCTTGTCCTGAGGACAGCATGCAGAATGTGTAAAATGTGGTCTTGTTTGACAGGACAGTCCAGCCTCCCATCTGCTCGCTGTCTGTACATAAGATTGTGTGTGTGAGTGAGAGGGGGGAAGACAAAGAGAGAGATATCTAGTGATTCTATGTGTCTCAGAGACACAGACAGACACCTCCTCTTGTCAGGGACAGGCTAAAAGCCTAAGAGAAGAGGCTGTGTTTAGACAGTGAGAAAACATCTTCAATCACCAGATCAACAGCATGAGAGTCCACTTTCAAACAGAGTGTCAATGGAGAATTCCTGAAACTGGGATGAGATGGCTCTGGGTCAAGGTCAGGTTATGGTGCTAACAGGCTGCTCAGCCATTAAGGTCTATTTTGCTGGTTTATATTAGAATGCAACAGCGATTTTTAGCTTCATCGTGGTGGCTGCATGTGAATTTTACTGTTCTGTATGATGTTTAATCCTCTTATGTCAACAGGTTGTTTGCTTTTGTTCCTTCTGAATAAAAATGAAAGGAGACAAATGGAGCTGTTCCCGTAAGAGTGAAATGCAAAGGAGGCAGTTTCCTGGCAAGGACAATGGGCGAAGAGGACGTGTGGTTGGGTTTGTGTTTTTTTGGTTCACGCATCAGTGCTAAAGGGTGGCAGTCTCCCGGCGGGACAGGTAGAGACGAGCATATCCAGCCACTGAGTCAGATTTCACATTTGTAGGAGCGTGGCGATGCATGCACTTCACTGAGCACCAATGCAGAGGCTATCTGCCATCTAAAACAGTGTAGGTAGCAAAGCAAGGGTGGTCGGGTAAACTACACCCTAATCTCAACCTCGTCCCTCCTCCAACCCGACCTGGTACCAAGCTCGCATTACACCTGACAGGTGAAAAGCAGAGGATCGTCATTGCTGGCATGCATTTCTACGGTCTCTGGCTGCTGCTACTCTACATACTAAGTTACTGGTCTGCTTCAGCGCCATAATATCTCCACAACTAAAAGTGAATGTAAATATGGCATGTGTGCTACTATCAATGCTACCATTTTGTTTCATTACGGTGTGTTATTCATTATAATACTGCCGGCCAATACAATATGCTTTGACATCACAAGCTGTTAGGTTATGTTTCAACCCCTGGAAAAATGTAAAAGCAAGAATAAGCAAGGATAATGTCAGTGAGCAAGAGAACAGGAGCAGACTTTGTCAACTAAAAGGTTCCTTCAGCCCATTGTTGTGTGTGTTTCCACCGTGGTCTAAAGATCTGCGATGATTAGTCAAATTAATCAGCTGTACAAAGCGATGCACAGGCATCATTATTTAGTAACAACTATCCATGAGCAAAATTTATAAATGAACATCCGATTTGATTGGAATATAATGAAAACTATAGGCTATGCTTGGCCATTAAAAACAGCTTTTTTGTGTGGGAGTATAATGAAGAGACACATGATAAAGTTTGTTACAAATTCAATAAACTGGAAGCCATCAAGTTCTTAAAATAACTCCAGCACAGAGAAAGCAACACAAAAATAAGACAGTTTGTAAGGTTATTAAAACATTTCCAGCTGACTACAGCTTCAGCCCACATGTCTGTGTCCGCCTGAGCATTGGAGGAACGGGATTTTTAACTAGCTTTATTACCTGCTGTAATCAGCTGTTCCATTTGTTTTGGAGAAGAGGAGACCGACTTCGGCTCTGTGTAAAAACTTCCCGACTGGAAACAACAACTTCAGTCCCAGTATTTAGCTTAACTCCTTCAGCTGTAAGCTGTAAACACACCGCATACATTTAAATGCTGCTGTACGATCTCAGGCAGCCGACGTACGATCTCAGGCGGACATCGATGAGACTTGTGTGCTATCTGAGTGTTGATTGTGATTTACTGGTTTGCAAACAACGGTGGAAAAGAGAGGAGCAGTAGGCCTAGCAGAACAGCCAACATGCTCGATTTAAAGCCAGTAGCCTCTACTCACCCATTCAGAAATTTACTGCAAGGCAAGCCTCGCCCCCCCCAAAGTACCGGTACTTTCGGAAAGTACTACCCCCCCGAGCAGGGACTTTTTTGGGGGTAAAATAAAGACCATAGAACTAAATTTAGACCCTGGTTCCTTCAGTGGAAACGCAATTCCTCCAAAGGTTCCTAGTTCCAGGGTATAGTTCCTTTGGTTGAAACACGGCTTAAGTTTAAAGTAATACAAGTTGCAAATGGGGTTGCTATGCCAAATCTTTCATAGAGAAAATCATGACATTAATGTTATTAAGTAAGCACAAAGACAGAAACCTGTACCTGATTTGTCCTCTGACGAGTGGACGGTTCTTTGTGCGGTTCATGTTAGAGTCGAAGGGCACCTCAAAGTACTGTTGAGACAGAACAGGAAGTGGGTTAATGCAGGAGACACAAACACACACATCCATCTCCTTCAATGCACACACACTATTTCTTGAACTCATACAGGCAGCAGTGAAAATGGATCACTTTGGGTGTTAAAGCAGAATAGGCAACACTGTAGATTACACACCTCCTACACTACAGCTCAAAAGGTACAGATGTGGTTTAGAACATTTAAATTTGATCCAAATGATCCAAACAAACAAAAAAAAAGGTGTGAATGGAAAGAAACAGCCACTATGAAATATTTTACATTTCTCTCTCTCTGCATGCTTTCTGATGTTGGTCATGTTAATGTTCACAGAAATGTAAATCAACTAGGTTAAATTTATAAGGATCACATGACTTCCACCATGGCTGCCTCTGTGAGTCTATCTACGCAACATCTGGAGAGAAACAATGCGAGGGGAGCCACTGAAGGTATGGTCCTAGCAAATCTTTGAACCAAATGCACTTGGAGAGTAAATGGACAGGAGGTGGAAGGTGGAGGCAGTGAGCTGTTGGGACAGGAGGTGGTGGTGTTGGTGGGGGGTGTTCTGGGATACAACTATGTGAAAAACTACTTATACTCCTGTTTTATGATCTGCTCTGGAGGAGTATGCTTCAAAGTGCTCCCATGAGATTGGCAATGTGTGACTAAAATGCAAACACATGGGGTGCTTAAAAGCAGGAACTGGCTAATCTGTGTGTGTGTGTGTGTGTGTATGTGTATAAGTGAGCAAATGCACATACATGTGTGTTTGCTTGCCTGCATAAGAGCCTTTGACTAATGAAGAAAACAGATAAAGCACTTAGACTGTGGAATATCAAGATCCATCTCTTCTGATATATGGTTCACCTAAAATATCTAATAAATAGATAATCCACTTTCCTCTTCTTAAACCCCAGTTCCCAGATTTACTGCACTCATGACATCGAAAAGCCACCATATTATTAAAAAAAAAACTCCTGGTGGAAGGCATTGCATTTCATTTCGTATAGATTTTCTATTGTGAAGAACAATAGGGAGTGGGCTGCAAGATCTAAATAACAAGCACCAACGAAAAGATCAAACATGTCTGACAACAATTTGGCTTTCTTAGATGAGGTCTGGCATTTGGGAGAAACACAGCCTTTGATGGTCATGCCTACAACAGTTAGATAAATATCTCCATATTTGGCTCCAGTTACTGCCGAAATTGTTGTGGCAATAAAATGCCCCAGAAGGCATTAAAATTATCAGTAGAATAAGCTCTCTCCATATGCGCCAAAGAAAATCTCCTGCTTTCTTCCTTTGGTTCAGTTGTAGTGGAGCACTAGCTAGCTCAGTCTGACTGGACTGGGCCAGGCTAATGGACAGCTGTGTATGCGGCTGTGGGACCCAAAGGTCCAGGCTGAGGTGTTAATTCTATTTCCTGGGTCGGGAAATGCGTCAAAAGGTCAGGGGCCGCATGAGAGACAAATACACTTCGTGGCCAGGCCAAAGCAGAGAAGTGCTGAACCAGGCCTCAGGCAGGCCCAGGGCCAAGCTTGCTGTAACACTGCTCACATAAAAAAAAAGATTTACTTAGTTTCCAATAACATCATGTTAAAAAAAGGAGAAGCAGATATTGTGAATAATGGTGATCTGTGCATTGTGGCCACATAAGCATTTAAGGCAATTCTACATTAAATAAAATAAGAAACAAAGAACTTTCCAGAGTGAGTAAAGAAAGTATTTCAAAACACAAGATCGGGAGTGTTGCCATCGTTTGGATGAACCTGTCGTATGTGTATGCAGATGATTTGACGTGAATGTCAAAGTCACCCGGACCACCCCACTGCGTGTGCCATGTTGTCATTTCACAGTTTGTCCAGTTCTGCTCTCGTTCCTCGCGCTCTGCCTTTTAAGTCCGAGTGCCTCATCTGGTTCGCATCAGCAGCCCTCTCAGCCCGTGTCATTATTTCCGCCCAACACTGCCATGTGTTACAGTGATGGCATTAAAGTAATTGGGCCATTTGTGTTTTGTGTGCATGCACGTGTGTTGCTACAGGTAGGTCTAGAGGTTTGGTTCAGACTGCACCAGTTTAAAATTGACAAGTCTTCGCGTGCATTACCAAATAAGCTGAGCAGAATTAACTGGCACAACATTCAGTGGTTATAGCTTTTAGCAAAAACTTCAATCTCCAGTAGGGCACTTCTGACCAATGTATATTTAATATTACTAAATGTAAATATGCCTTTAATCAAATCATCATAAAAATAAGGCATAACCTAGGTGAGTTCTGCAGTTAAATCATGATTCTTTCACTGACAATGCTGAGCATGGGAGCATAATGAGGCATTTTTGATGGGTTGGCGTTCCTTTCACCAAAAAAAAACAAAGTTCCAAAATATATCGGGCTTAAGATACAAACCTCAACCCTTTGGATCAGCCTGGGACATCGACTGTATAGAGGGGCAGCTGGGGGACTGAACCGGAAGTTATGGAGAGCCCGGCAGCTGCTTTCAATTATGAACACAAACACATACACAAACCCATAAGTGTAGGGACAATTATCTGCCAGATGAGGATGGAAAAGAGGCGAGACCAAAGTGAGAAGCAAAGGAGAGGGGGTCAGATCCTCTGCGCTATCAAAGACAGAACGTGATCCACAGCCAACCACCAGGGCTCAATTGATAACAGGATGCAGGCAGGCATTTCCTATTCTTGTGTAGAAGCTACAGAAGCTACTGCTTTGCATCATGATATAATTCATGGCAACACTGAAGCAGAAGGACTTGAAGGGCTGCGTAGTTTTTACGTGCGTAAAATGTTTAAGTTCACTCACTGGATGCCATGAAGTTGGCTTGTATAACCACTTAATTAAGGACAATGAAAAAATGACTACCTTGTACTTTGTGCAACAGCCACTCCTTGTGCTCCTCATGGGAGAGAAGTTGCCTTACCAACCCCACACCTCCTGCAAAATCAACAATAGGAAGTGCAGTGAAGGTTGAGAGGAGAGGAGTGATACCGTAACCGCACACTGTGCATTTACTGTGTTTACTCAAGAGTGCGCGCTTAAACACAGGCACAAGTACACACACACAGCTGAGCAGCTGTATGGCTCACTCAGAAACATCAGCTGGCCTAAACAGTGCGTCTCTCTCACTCTGCTGAGGTAAACCCAGGTGCACGGGCTAAACCCAACAATAAGACCAAGTCATCACTTGTCAGAATGTCACCTGTTTGCACACTGGAGTTGAATGGCGGATGCAAACATCCACAGGGGCGGGTGGTGCTCCGATGCATGCGAGCCAAGTCTACTTAAAAAAGCACGAGAGCTCTCAATACCCCCTTCAACACCAACTGTGAACTGTCTCTGATCAACCATTTGACAAACAAGCAGCAAAAGATTTACATAGATTAAGCTTTCCTCAGAAGTCAATTCAATGTGTTCTGGCAGACATTCACAACATTTTGAAGTCAAATGAAAGAAAAAGGAATGGAACAAAAGAGACAAGCCATGCAGCCCCACACAAAAACTCTTTTATTAAGGTTATTTCAAGGTGTTTCTGCAGTAGAAGTGGGACTGCTCTTCTGTCACAGAAATGCTATTGATGTCTCTTGAGTCAAATGAATAGTCTTGGAGCTATGTGAGCAATGCTGTGATTTTGCACTGCTTCCCTGAATAACCTGTTAAACACTTCTAAAGTACTTGTTAGCAAGAACCTGTGTGTGTGTGTGTGTGTGTGTGTGTGTGTGTGTGTGTGTGTGTGTGTGTGTGTGTGTGGAAAGCAGAGGTGAAACAAGTCTAAAGTCATAATGGAATAAAGGCAAATAAAAGACGAGACGAGGAAGCAGGAACATTAACAGCGAGGGTGACTGTTATAACAGGTAGAAATGGTACATAGGTAGAAATGTGTGCCATGATATAGATTCAAGTAGGTGCAGAAGGGATTGATTTTCACATTACATAAAATGCATCATGAGCATCAGCACAACCCAGTGCATGCAACCAAGTACTCGTGTATAACTTAACTTGAGTAAAGAATTCCCTTTCATGCAAAAAATGTAAAGATGAAATCATGCAGGTAAGACCAAACGATGATGAAAAAGAGTTCATCCATGGTTTGGTTGCAAAAAGTTGGAATTCAAAATACCTTTGGGACATAAACTAGAAACTGGCATCTGAACATCTTCACATAATTCCTGTCACTGAGAAAATAGCAATATTTAGTTCACACTATCTGCAGTTGAGGTGAAAGCTAAAAAAAAAGGAGACGTGTCTGTGTCTGGAATGCTACATATGGACAGCTGGCAGATGTTTGCGGGCTTCCTCGCCCTCTTGCGATCCTTTGATGTGATGAAATGATAGGGGATCAGCTGGTGTGATTAGACATGAAAAGCCCAAATTGTTTGTACTGCTTAATTCACAAGAGAAGAAATCAAGAAAAAGAGGGAAAACAAAAATCACATAACCTATGATCCAGAAGTCTTTTCACGATCAAGTCATCCACGTTTCAATGTTTGCACAGTGACTCAGGCATGTGAACAGAATCAGACATTAAAAAGAAAGCTGAAACTACCCATACTTCTTCGTCTTCATCCTGCTACTATACACTACAGTCTGCTTTCATTCTCTCTAGGTCCTGCTGTAGAAACTGCAATACCCTGTCTGGCCAAAGAGTGGATCTCCCTTTCAGCTGTGTGCTGAACCCACAACCCTTTTCCCTCTCTTTATAGTGGTCTGTGTAGAGCTGTTGGCAGCGGTTCAGCTGGAACAGCCTCTCTCTTGATTAATGGCCTGAGTGTGGGACAGTGAAGTGCTAAACTGTCCTTATGTTAATCAGCCAATTAATGCTGAGCAGAGCCACATTACCTCTGCCCTAATCAGCCCCTTTGCCTGTGAAGATATGGGTACGATCTGGGAAAGCTTACCGCATGGCAGAGGCATGCTATACTCTCACTGCCTGAGCCATGAAGAGAGGGAATGAGAGGGGAAAGAGGATGAAGCTTGAAACGGA